CGAGGCTAGCCTGGTCTACAGAGTGAGTTCCAGGACAGCCAGGGCTATACAGAGAAACCCTGTCTCGAAAAAAGAAAAAGAAAAAAGAAAAGAAAAGAAATCTTTGCAGTTAATGATATTGTAAACATATAAGAATATTTGTTTGGGTTACTACTCGAAGGTTTATAAATTCATCTTGATTTTCTGCATGAGGAACTGGGAATAAGAAAATGGTACGTCTTTTGTAGCTACATGAATTTCTCCTTAAACAGTTTTTCTAAGATGGTGGGGTTACCTTAGGTATGGTGCTTTTATGTGAAGCTGCTACGTCTGACATGGATATTGGGAAGCGAAGGAGTAAGTCACATGCCACCATGTTTCAATTCTGCCTTTAATACAGAAAAGAATCTTTTTTTTGGAAAAAAAAAAAAGAATCTTAACTAATCACTTTCCCTGGGAGCATGTACTTTTTACACTTTAGAACATGCATAAATTGTTGGGTGTGGTGGTATAGTCTAAAAGTCCCTGTACTCCAGAGGCTGAGATAAGAAGATTGCTGCCAGTTGAGGCCCTCCCTGTGCTGTATACTAAAACCCTGTCTCAAAAACCAAAGAAGCTGTCCGAAGTGACACACTTGGAATTCAAGTACTTAGCCAGTAGAACAGGGAGATTAAGGAGTTCAAGGCCATCCTTTGCTACATAGTGAGTTTGAAGCCACCTCAGGCTATATGAGAGACCCTGTCTCAGGGAAACAAATATTCACACATTTTTATTGTTTCAAAAAGATGCCTACAATATAACTTGTTGTTAGCACAATTTCTGGGATTTTGTTAAAATGTTAAGTTATTCATACCTAATTTTTTTCTGTAAAATTTTTAATTTTTGCCAGACATAGGTAATAATACACCTACAATCCAAACACTGAGGAGGCAAGTTTATCTCAGAGTGAGGGGTCATTCACTGCTACATAGTGAGACCCTGTCCCAAAAAATAAAAATAAAAAAAACCTTTCATTATAAGAATATATCTATTAACTATTTAATATATAATACATTGTGATGTTTTATTTCATAGATTTATTTTAAAGCATTTGTGTGTGTGTGTGCGCGTGCATATTATATGTCTTAGGGTTTCGTTGCTGTGAAGAGACACCATGACCAAGGCAACTCTTATAAAAGACAACATTTATTTGGAGCTGGGGTAGTTTTATAGATTCAGTCTGTTACCATCATGGCAGGAAGCATGACAGCATACAGACAGACAAGGTACTGAAGAAGCAGAGTTCTACATCTTGATCCATAGGCAGCAGAAGGGGACTGATTCTGTAGGCAGCCAGGGAGCTCTGATCCCTCACTGGAGCACTAACAGATTGCAAAGTTCACACCCACAGTGACACCTTGTGATAGTTTGTATATGCTTGGCCCAGAGAGTGGCACTATTTGGTAGTGTGGCCTTGTTGGAATAGGTGTGTCACTGTGGGCCTGGGCTTTAAGACCCTACTCCTAGTTGCCTGGAAATATGTATTCTGCTAGCAGCCTTCAGATGAAGATGTAGAACTCTCAGCCCTGCCTGCACCATGCCTGCCTGGATGCTGCTGTGCTCCCACCTTGATGATAATGGACTGAACCTCTGAATCTGTAAGCCACCCCTGTTTAAATGTTGTCCTTTATAAGACTGGCCTTGGTCATAGTGTCTGTTCACTGCAGTAAAACCCTAATAGTGCCATTTCCCATGGGCCAGACATTGAAACACATGAGTCTATGAGGGACAAACCTATTCAAACCACCACCACAGTATGTATGTATGTATGTATGTATGTATGTATGTATGTATGTATTTATTTATTTGAATGCCACAACATGAGGATAGAGATCAGAGGACAACTTGTAGGAGTCCCTTCTCCTACTATGTGGGTCCTGGGGATCAAACTCAGTCAGGCTTGGCAGCAAGCACATTTTCTTACTGAACCACCTTGCTGGCCCAATTGTGATTTGTTTGGATTGCCCATTTCGGTATTCCTCATTTGGAAAATGTCATCTAAATACAATCTGGTATGAATTTAAGTGGTAAAACACTGTAGCAGAATATATTGAAATTGTCATAATTTCATCTAGTTCTTGGATTCCTTTTTTTTTTTTAAGATAGTCCTACTACATAGCCCTGGCCAGCTTGGAATTTTCTATGTAGAGAGAGCATGCTTGAGTCTGAACTCACCGTGTAGTTCAAGGTGTACTCTACTGGCTCTAAGCTACACCTCCTGAGTACTAAATTCTATGTGTACTCCAACACACCTGCCCTTTTTTCTTTAAGACTTATTTTTACAATGCTTAATTATATGTCTGTCTGGATATGGATATGTACGTGTGAGTATAGGAAGGTACCCTTGGAGACCAGAGGTGTTAGATCCCTCCTGGAATTGGGGTTACGGGTACTTGTGAGCTTCCTAATAGGGGTGCTTGGAAGTGAACTTGTGTCCGCTAAAAGAGCAGTCCATACTTGGAACTGCTGAGCCATCTCTCCAGCTCCATAGTTGGCCCTTTTTGTCTTCTGGAAATGCTCTCATATAGGCCAAACTGATCTCACACTTAGTACTTAGTCTAAGCTGGCCTTGAACACTTGATATTTATACCTCTTCTTCCCAAGTGCTGGGATCACAGATAGGAGACTATTTTTTAACATTAAATTATTGAAGGCTTTGATGCTTTTGATTTTTTTCTTTTTGATCTTTCAAGAATGTCTCGCTATATAATCCTGGTTAACCTGGAACTTGCTTTGTAGACTGACCTGGCCTTATATTTTCTTCCATCCTGCTGCCTCTGCTTCATGAATTGTGGGATTATAGACACAATGTGATATATTTAAGGACACATATTGTTTTATTGCAAAGGTATATAAGTAAATTGACTCTATTGTATTGTGGTGGAGTAAGCTTACATGCAATGCAAATGCTGCAAGATTCAAAAGTTGAGATTAAGGCTGGAGAGATAGCTCAGCGGTTAAGAGCACTGACTGATCTTCCAGAGTTCTTAAGTTCAAATCCCAGCAACCACATGGTGGCTCACAGCCATCTTTAATGGGATCCGATGCACTCTTCTGGTGTGTCTGAAAACAGCTACAATCAATGTATTCACATACATTAAATAAATAAATAAATCTTTTTTTAAGTGGAGATGAGAGCTGGGTAGTAACATCTTTAACCCCAGCACTCTAGGAGACAGAGGCAAGCATCTCTGAGAGTTTGGAGCCAGCCTGGCCTACATAGTGAGTTCCAGGAAAGCCAGAGCTACACAGAGAAACCGTGTCTCATGGTGGGGGGAGATGAGGTGGGCGTGACTCTCTATGAAGTGCCTCACTTTCTTCCAGACCACCTCTCCCTCCTAACCTTTGTTTTCAGAATCTATATCAAAATGATAAGCCCCTCCCCCCAAATGGGGCTTAACTCTGTTGGAAAGCTGATTCTTCGCATGCTTTCCTCTTTGGGAGTGTACATTCTACACTGCAGGTGATTTGTCAGGGGCGACCTGATGACTCTACTTTTTTTTTTCTCACAGTGATGTGTGTTGCTGGAATTGGACTTGTTGTGTTATTCTTCAGTTGGATGCTCTCTATCTTTCGATCAAAATACCATGGCTACCCATACAGGTATATTCTTATTTTATCTATACTTAAAATGACTAGAGTTAGTATTGCTTTATAATAGTTTATTGTTTACCTTTTTATGCCTTCACTTTGAAAAGTCTCCTTCCACTCGTTTTCCTGTTTCATTTTGCTTTTGCAACAGGATTTCATCTACCCCGGGCTAGCCTTGAAATCCTTATTCTCCTGTCTCTGTCACCTAATTTCTGGGCTTACAGGCATACACTATCATGCTGTGTTGTGGAGGTCATTGTACTTGAGTGTGTATTTTCTATGTTGGTGTTTTGAGATAGGGTCTCACTATGTATCTCTCACTGGCTTGGACCTCATTATGTAGCCCAGACTTCCCTTGAACTTGGCAGCAGTGCTTCTGCATCCCAAGTGCTGGAACTAATGGAATGTTCCTCTCCTGCCTGGTTTATGTGGTCTCTCTCCCTTTCCCCTCTCATTTGAGATAGGGTCTCACTATATAGATGAGGCTGAATTCCACCTCACAGAGATCTGCCTGCCTTGGCCTCTCAGTGCTAGGATTAATGGTGTGTGTCACCACAGCTATCTGGTCATTTCTTTTATGGAATTGCCAGGACTTTTGTTGGAGGGGGAGTTGTTTGATTTGGTTTAGTTTTCAAGACAGTGTTTCTCTGTGTAGCCCTGGCTATCCTGGAGCTTGCCTTGTAGACCAGGCTGGCCTTGAGTCACAGAGATCTGCCTGCCTCTGCTGGTATAAAAGGCGTGCACCACTACCACCTGACTATTATTTATAGGGATTTTTAAAAATATTCTTTTATTTTTTTTATTCATGTGTGCAGAGGCTAGAAGAAGATACCATTTCCCCTGGAGCTGGAGTTTGTTATAAGCTATACCATGTGGGTGCTGGAAAGCAATCACAGGTCCTCTAGAGGAGCATCATTCCAGCTTCCTGGGTTTTTGGTTGGTTTTGTTTTGTGTATGCATGTGTGTCTTAAGATCCTCCTCCAGCTTGAGTTATAGTACTTCTCAACACCATGTCATGTCAGGGTGGCTCATACCATCTGTGTAACTCCAGCTCCAGGGTATCTAATCCCTCTGGCCTCTGAGGGAACCTGCACTCATGTGTATATACTCACATACAGACACATACACATAATTAAATTTAATAAAAAGAAGCCTAAAAAACGCAAAAGGAAACAGCTAGAGTGTTTCAGATATTTATAAAGTTCATAGAGATCCCAGTGGCTAGGGGAGGAAATTGGGTTGTTTTTTTTTTTTTTTTTTTTTTGGTTTTTCGAGACAGTGTTTTTCTGTGTAGCTCTGGCTGTCCTGGAACTCACTCTGTAGACCAGGCTGACCTCGAACTCAGAAATCCGCCTGCCTCTGCCTCCCAAGTGCTAGGAATAAAGGCGGGCACCGCCACCACCCGGCTGGAAATTGTTAATATTATAGGTTATTGGCTTTGCTGTTATACGCAAGTGAAATGATTGGCTGGCCTGTGTTGGTTTTATAATCTGAGTATTGGTTAACATTTTTACTTTTTAAAGACTTATTTATTTTTATATATATGAATGTTTTGCACGTGCGTGCGTGCGTGCATGCATGCATGCATGCATGCATGCGTGTAGCAAATGCATACCTGGTGCCCACAGAGGTCAGAAGAGTTTTGAAGCCTCTGGAACTGGAGTTACCAATGGTTGTGAGCTGCCATGTGAATGCTGGGAATTGAACCTGAGTCTTCTGTGAGAGCTGTATATGCTGTTAACTACTGAGCCATTACCCCAGTTTCCATAATTTATGTTTTAATACATGTCATCCTATGGTACTGCAGACCTATAATCCCAGCACTCAGAGACAGACACAGGCAGGATAAGATCTGGATTGTCTTTGGCTACATAATGAATTTGAGCTGTCTTCAAACTCATTATATGTTTGAACTCATTACATGAGACACTATCTCAAAAAGAAGACTACTGGGTCTTTCCCTGTTTCTCACTTTTTGTTTTTGATACTCAGATCATAGTACATAACGTATTAAAATCAACATACTATGTATTTATAAAATATCAAACTTAGCTGGGTGTGGTAGCATATTCCTTTAATTCCGGCACTTGAGAGGCAGAGGCAGACAGATCTCTTTGAGTTTGAGGTCAGTCTGGTTTACAAAGCAAGTGCAGGACAACCAGGGCTGTTACATAAAGAAATCCTCTCTCAAAAATCAACCAAAAAAAAAGAAACCTTCCTATTCTCCTCTTCTCTCTTCCCATGTGTTCCCAGCCAGCCTCTCTTTCTCTTCTTCTGTCCTTCTCTGCCTCTCCTTTCTGTCCTTCTCCTTTTCCAGGTCCCTGCTCCCCACCTCCACAATAAATTTTTTTTTTATACTAAAAAAAGTAAAACTTAGTTTTCTTTCAGAGACTAACATACTGATATATATTTTGTTTCAGCTTTCTGATGAGTTAAAGAGGATTCCAGAGAAACCTTGACACTGGTAATGGAAACTGAAAAATAAAACTATTTGGTGTTTGAAGAATGCAACTCACGTATTTTATATTACCTCTTTTTGTCAAGTGATCTAAATAGTTAATCATTTAACCAAAGATACGTAGTGCCTTAACAAGCAGTTATAAGATCGTGAAGTATTTGGAATTATGCTCCTCTTAACCTTCCCTTCCCAATGAACTTATGAAATATTTGGTTTTTGTAGAATTAAGTACTTTATAAAAATTTAAAACTACTACTTCATTTTACTTAGAGCAAACCTCAAAACTACTTTAGTTAACTTTCAGTCATCTGATTTTATCTTATCTAAGGTTGGGGATGGAGGGTGAGCAGGAATTTCCACCTCTGCCTATTGCAAACAACTGCATCTGGAAGTGGTCATTACTGTTCCTTCTTTGTGCAGATGTATGTGCTTTACAGACCTTTCCTCTTGGGCCAAGGTATCATATGCACTGTGTGATCTGAAAATGGACCATGTAGCTTATGGAAAGACACGTCTTCCTATGTCTTTCCAACTGAAATCAGTTACATATGCCTCCTTTTACACATTAAGAAGTACCTCTAACTAAAGACTATGATTCGTGCATGAGTGTGTTATAACTACCTTGTACATGGAAAGATTTCTAATTCATTCTGTTTCTAGTTTTATTTAAGGTGGCCCTTCTCTAATAATAATAGCTTGTTGCTAAAAATCAATATAACTTATAAATGGTCTCAAGTGTTTTTGTAAGTTACACATTGTCATTGATTTCGTTTTTATCTAACAGAAAAATAAGCTGAGTTGTGTTCATGGAAAGAACTCTCTTAGAATGAGAAAACAAAATCATGAAATATTGATTTGTTGCCTAGGTACAGAAATGAAATGGTTTGCCAGGCTGTGGTAGACGAAGGCTGAGCTCTGTGAGTTTGTGGTCAGCCTGGGCTACATAGTGAGACCCCGTCTCCAGGAAAAAAGAGAAAAAAGGAAGGAAGAAAACTGACGTGTTTTCAAGCTGAGGCTGTGGCTCAGAGGTGGAGTGCTTGCCTAGCATGAGTCACACTCTGGTCAATCCCAATGCCTTAGAAAAAAAGAAAGATCTCTTGAAACCCGGTCTATGTTTTTTTTTTTTTGTTTTGTTTTGTTTTCTTTTGGTAAGGATTGTTCCTTGAAACCTTGGTCCTTTGCTTTTTAAAACACATGTTCCGTAAAACATGGGTTACTTTTTAAATAAGTGTTTCTTGAAACATAGTCTGGCTATTGTTTTCATTTCTGTTTTTGTGTGTGTGTGCCTGCTTTCTAAAAGGAATGTTTCTTGAAAGCTCTCTGTGAGACAGAGTGCTAGCTGGTCTTCCCTCCCTTACGGAGACTGCCCGACCTCTGACTCACATTCATCCTCATGTCTTCTCAAGTGCTGGGATGGCAGGCATTGCCACCATTGACTGCAAAGTGCTTTTGCTATCAGGTTAGCTTTTTATTTACCCCCATAAATTAGAGATACAAAGAATGGTGCCAGGCACTTTCCTCTGCTCTTAGCTACCCTGCTGGCTGAAGCAGAATCCACCAAGTGCAAGAATTTGAGACAGTCTGGCATCATATTAACACCGCATCTCAAAAATATGTCAGAAAGTAAAACTATGAAGGAATTTTGTTTGAATTTTATCTTTTTTCCTGGTAGTGGAAATAACCATATATGCTAACCAGTTTTCCATGAAGAACATTTAAATCATGGTTATAATATGGCTGACTCTGGCTTTCACCATAAAGAGTAATTAGAAATGTCACTATTAAGAAAGCGTAGTCTTGGACTGGAGCTCAGTGATAGAGCACTTACAAGGCAGAGCTAGAGCACTTACAAGGCTGTGGGTTCAATCCTAAACACCCCAGAAACCTAGAAATGTAGCTGAAAAGTGGAAAGACATATTAGAAATATTACATTTAAAATATAGACATGGATATGTGGTTGATACAGTGCTTGCCTAGCATACATGAAGTCATGGGTTCGATCCACAACATCACATAAGCCAGGTATGGTAGCACATGGGTGTAATCCCAATGCACTCAGGAAATAGAGACAGAAAGATCAGAAATTCAACCTCATCCTTGAGTATATAGTCTAAGGCCAACCTGAGCTACATAAGACTCTATCCCAAAGACAAAAAAAAAGATACTGTGACTATTCTCTGCTATTGATCATGCAATAACCTTCCCGTGTCTTATATAATAGAGGTTTATGGAAAGAGATAAGCATAATTCGCCCAGAAAAATGTTTTGGGTGGTTTGTTGTTGTTGCTACAAATTTGATGACTAGGAGGATACAGTTGACCGTTCCTTGTAAATTGAATGATTCTTAATTCCTTATCTGCTATTCTTGTACCTGTCTCTGCCAAATGAATTTATGCTGTGATTCTTAGGAAACTAGTGTGAAGACTTGTAAAGTTGAACTGGGCAGCACTCCTACTGTGTAACCTCTAGCTGCTGGTGCCTCCCATGGTCAGTGTTTTGTGTGTTTTCTCCTTGTTTAAGAGCAACATTCTTCAGTATGGAGAAAGGCATGCTCTGGCCAAAATCTGTGGAAAGCAGATTTTTCTCATTTAAAATAGTGTTACTTTTGTGGAAATTTTAAATTTAGCTTTTATCTGAAGTGCCTTAAATAGATTCTTAATTTACTTTTCTAGTACTGGTTTAAATATAATTCATTATGTATTTTTAATATACTGTTCAAAAATGATACATTATTATAGCAAAGATAACCAAATGTCTAGCTTACTGCTTCATGTCAATAAACTTTTACAACCTAAATTACATGTTGTTTATTTTCTATTGTCACAGCAAGACTGTCTCTAAAAGGTTCCATAACCTCCCAAACACTAGCCAGCAGATTAGCCTATGAAGATATTTCATGTTCAAACCACAGCACCTTTCTACAGAGGGGTCACTATGAAATATCAAAGGAGGAATTCTTAAAACAGAATATTCTATCTTGAATGTTTAATTAAATTTCCTTAATTTTGTACTGTCCTACAACCGTGCATTTCATAGAACAATTCTATTTATCACCTCTAGATTAAGATAAACTCTTCTGCAGGGTGTGGTAGCACATACGCTAAATTCCAGCATTGGAAAGTAGAGGCAGGCAGTTGTCTATGGAGTCGAAGGCCACCCTGCTCTACATAATACTTCCAGGTCAACCAAGGCTATTGTGAGATAACCCCCCCTCTAAATAACAAACTGGTTCTCAACCTGTGAGTGATGACCCCTTTGGGGATCTAATGACCTTTTCACAGGGGTTAGATAAGACCTTCAGAAAATACAGATATTTACATTATGATTCATAACAGTACCAAAACTACAATTATAAAGTAACAATGATCGTAATTTCATGGTTGGAGGGTCACTACAACATGAGGAACTGTATTAAAGGGCTGTAGCATTAAGAAGATTGAACAACACTGGACTAGAACCACTGGAGCATACTGGTTTTCTTGGTTGGTTATAATAGTAATCTCTAAATTAAATGTTGAGTTAAACAAGTTGAAATTCAGGGATACCAGGCATGGTAGTGCATGCCTTTGATCCCAGCACACTGGGAGACAAGCAGGCAGATCTCTCTGAGTTTGAAGCCAGCCTGTTCTACAAAGTGAGTTCCAGTACAGCCAGGACTGTCACACTGAGAAACCCTGTGTCAAACAAAAAACAAAACCCCTAAAGCCCGGCTTATATTTCTTTTAAATTTAGACACATGTATGTTTACTAGTTTACATATTAGAACGGCAGGAAAGAGCTTTGAAGGAACTTGTGTAAAGTCACCTTCAGACTACAGAAGAGCTTGCCTTGAAAAGAAGTCCTTAAAATACTTTCTAGAAAGGCTGTGCTTGGAACTTCTATATATCTACTATTAGGTCTTATGACATGGGCCCTGCCCATTCTGAGCAAGGGTGAGATCAACGTTGACTCAGTATCCTGATAGTATTGAAAGCCAAAGCCAAAAAGACATTAGATATGCTTAAATTAGTACCTTCACCTGCACTGCTGAAGAAAACCTGCCCTAGAAAAATGAAGCAATTTACTGAAGGTTATTCCAAGGAAATGCTTACAGGTTTTCCATTTTGCTGAAAATACCCTACGGATTATATTTCACTTGCAGATGCAAATTGCTCTCTGGAGACCATAGTCCACCTTGATTGCTTCCTGACATCCAGATTTCTGGAGAAGTCCTAATGAAAAAGACATTTCCCAGGAGAGCCTGAATCATGCAGGTGCCCTAAGGAGGGAGTTTTGATTGACACTCTTTGGTCTCTGAACATAGAATGTAGGTGAAGAGATAGTCTTTTGCCAGTACTAACCTAGTGAAGCTTCTAAACTTTGTGCAGAAGTGTCCCTTAAACTTTGTGTTCTCTTTTTCCTTTATGAAATTAAAGAGTTAAAATTCCAGTGTAAACTGGCATGGTGGGACAGATAATACCTGTAATCCCAGCATTTAGGAGGCAGAGAGAAGCAGGAAGATCAGGAATTCGAGGTTAAACTCTGCTGCACCCTTTGAGGCTAGCTTAGGCTACATGAGTCTGTCTCAAGAACAAAACAAACAAACCTTCCGATGCTTATCACCAACTGAAATAGGATACCATTCAAAATGAGGAAACCAAGCATAGTGATAACATGCCTTTAGTTCCAGTGCTCAGGAGGCCAAGACAGGTGGATCTTGTGAATATGCAACCCTGGTTCACACTGTTGCAGGCCAGCCAGTGCTACATAGTGAGACCCTGTCTCAAAAGACAAACACAAAATACCCAGAAATTTTACATGTGTTTGTAATCTCAGCACTTGGGACTTCCCTCAGGCTGGAGAATCAGGAGTACAAGGCCAGCCTGAGCTACATAGCACGTTCTAACCTGATCTGGACTGTGGATGGGCACCCCTATCTCAACAAACAAAAACAAGCCTGTAATGAAATGCTGCCTCATAACTCCTGTGGTAGCTACTACCTGAAAAACAGTAAATTAGTAAGGGTATGAAGAAACTGAACCTTTACAACTCCAGAGGCAGATGCAGGAGGATCTGAAGTTGAAGGCCACACTCAGCTATATAGCAAGTTCTAGGCCAGCTGGGAATACAGGAAGGCCTGTCTCAAAAAAAAAAAAAAAAAAAAAAGGTATGATGGTGCACACCTGTACTTCTTCAAGTTAGGGCTTATCACCCAAAGAAACTAGATTTCAAGGTCAGCCTTCAGTATATGGGGCACATAGCTAATTGGAGACAAGCCTGGGCTACATTAGACACTATAAAAACAATCCAAGGTTTAAAATACAATTACCATATAACCAAGCAATTTAATTTCTAGGTCTATAACCCCCAAAACTAAAAATAGAATTTTGAGTAATTGTAGTCCATGTTTGCACAACACTATTCATGTTAGCTGAAAGGCAGAAGCAAGCTCAATTTCTAACAACAAATGAATGGGAAAACAGTGTTACTCAACCATAGAAACAAGGACATTCCAAGGCAGTTGTAGTGGCCTGCCTATAGTGCCAACTACTCAGAATGCTGAGGCAGAAGGATTACTTGAGCCTAAGAGTGTGAGAGCAGCCTGATGAAATACAAGATTTCATCTCTAAGAAAGGGTGGGGGGGTTGGAATTGTAGTATTTGCAATGGGACTGAGCCTTAGGATATGATACCAAATGAAATAAATCTAGCCACAAAAAGACAAACCTTGATCACACATGCATGAAGTGTGTACAATACTGGAATGTGCAGAGACAGAAAACAAATTGGATGCAAAGCTGGAGTGGTTAGCTGGGGTTGTTGAATGGTGTGTAGTTTCAATTCTGAAAGACAAGGAGTTCTGGCCCCAAGGTTTAGTTCACAGAGCACTTGCCTAATGTACACGAGGCCCTGATGCTTACCACCTAGGCACCACAAAGTTGCAGGGGATACAGTTCAGTGGAGAGCTTTTGTCTAGATTCACTCCCACACTTCCAGTCCCAGCACTCAAGACTTAAGGGCAAGAGAACCAGGAGTTCTGGGCCATTGCTAGCTACATAGCAAGTTGGGACAGCCTGAGGTACATTGAGACCTTGATTCAAAAAGCAAAAGCAAAATAGACATGGTGGTGCACGTCCAAGCACTTGGGAGACAGGGGATATCTCTATGAGTATGGGATCAGCCCAATGAACAGAGTGAATTCCAGGATATGGTATGACTCTGTCTCAAAAAATATATAAACAAATAGTTGTCTTCTGAAAATTGATTGCAAGGGGTAGCTTACCACAGATGAACTACACAGACTACATAAGCTGGCCACAGTGGCTCACAGCTGTGATCCCAGCCCTCTGGACACCAAGGCAGGAGGATCATGGACCACCTAGGGGATGTAGCTTGATCCTGGGGGAGGGAGATATATTTTTTTTTTAGCTATGAGGAGGCCAAGCAGATTGTCACAAAGGACATTAAGTCATATTGACTTCTTCACCCCCACCCCACCTTTAAGCTTCTAAAAAAATGGTTTGGCACGCGTGCACACACACACACACACACACACACACACACACACACACACACGTCAAAGCCATGCATAGGGTACAAGCTTGTAACTTCAACAGTCAGGAGGCACAGACATGATGATTACAAGTTCAAGGAGTAAGGAGACCTTGTCTCTCTCTCCTCTCTCTCTTTTTCTCTCTCTCTCTCTCTCTTTCTCTCTCTCTCTCTCTCTCTCTCTCTCTCTCTCTCTCTCTTTTGTTTTTTTCGAGACAGGGATTTTCTGTGTAGCCCTGGCTGTCCTGGAACTCACTCTGTAGACCAGGCTAGCCTCGAACTCTCGAACTCAGAAATCCGCCTGTCTCTGCCTCCCAAGTGCTGGGATTAAAGGCATGCGCCACCACTGCCTGGCTTTATTTGGTATTTTGAGACAAGATTTCTTTCTCTGTGCAGCTTTGGCCATCCTAGAACTTGCTCTTGAGCCTGTTCTTGTGCTCACAGAGCTCTGCCTGCCTCTGCCTCTCTATTGCTGGGAGAACACTGCCCAGCTCTATTATTTTCTTGATAGATTTAATTGCAGTATCTGTGTTCTGATCATCTCGTCTCCACCTCTCCAGCACTGGATTACAGATGTGTGCCCAGTTTATATAATGCTGGGAATCAAACCTAGGGCTTTGTGCATAGTAGGTAAGAACTCTACCAACTCAGCTACATCCTTAGTTATTTTAATTTTGAGACAAAATCAATCTGAATTACTCATGCAGGGTTTGAACTTTAGACTCTCCTTTCTTAGCATTTCAAGTAGTTGAGATTACAGGACTGTGTCACCAGGCTTAACTGCAAAAGACATTTTCTAAATCCTAGTACCTGGGTTACAAACCAATGTGGGCTCGTTCCCACTGACAGGACTTTGTGTTTGATCTTTTGTTTACTTATTTACTTTGAGGGTTTTAAAAAAACAAACAGGTTCTCATATAGTCCAGGTTAGTCTCAAACTCAATACCTAGTCAATGGATGACCTTCAACCCCTGATCCTTCTTCCTTCACATCCCAAGTGCTAGTATTACAGATGTGCACCAACACAATTGCCATGTGTTTGATCTTTTATATGATTCCTGAAAATAAGACTACAGTTGTCCCCAAAAGACATGTGCAGTATGTACCCACTTATAAGTGGATATTAGCCATAAAATACAGGTACCATGTTACACCCCACAGACCCAAAGAAGCTAGACAGGAAGGAAGGCCCAAGCGAAGAAGCCTGAATCTTACTTAGAAGGAGGAATCAAATCGTCATAGGAGACAGATGTAGGGAGGGAACTG